TATATATATATATTACTATATATTATATATATATATATATATATATATATATATATATATATAAACTATGTATGAGTGTGCAGTGTCGTAAGAGGATACCCAGGTACATGCGCTATATATGTTTGAGATTTCCTTTGAAAATATCTAAATCTTACGTTTAACACACGATCGTGAAATATATTCGCTTTGTACATTTCAACGCATTCAACGAAGGAAGGTTTCTCTCTTTTTTTTTTTCTCTTTGGCGCAATCTTTGTGTGCTGTGTCTTACATTATGTCTCGGCGTGATGTACTACAGAAATAGGTAAATAAAGAGAGGCAGTTAATCGTTTATAGCAGTAGCAACAATTGCAGCTTCAATCAGTTTTCGTCCAGTCGTGTATTTTAGCGTTATTATCCAGCGTTATCGACAACTCGATCGGGAAGGTCCATCCACCGATCGAAAGTCGACCAAGTGTGTAATTGCATCGTGCAATTGAATCACGACTAACACGCTCTTTGTCACGTGTCTTACGATTCTTTCATAATAAATATCGAAATAAAAAATATCCCGCAGAAATGTGTATGTGTCCTGATGCGAAGTCAAACTTTGAAGATATGTTGCGGTGCTGGAATAAATAAATAAAGTGTTTTACATCAGAGCAGTAAATGGGAAGATGCTTTTTCACGGATCTATGGGTAACGTTTCTTCCAAACTCTGGAACTTCAACATGTGACGATAAATTCTAGAATATATCCTCAAAGTTACGATGTTTCCGATACCTCTTTCCGAGGAACGTAAGTTTTCATAGCAAAAAGCAGCCATACCAGCTCGCTCCTCTATTCAAAATATCGCAAATGTTCTCGCCGACTAATTGTCACATTAATAGCCTTAGCACTTTAACGTTTACTTTCCGAGAAATACAATATACAATTCTCCGATTTCATTTGGACCAAGAAAACAAAATGAGTGCTGCGACAATCAATCCCACTGTGCGTCCAAATCTCTTAAATTAGATTTCCATCGTTTAACTTTTTTTCTATTAAAAGCAATTCACATCACACAATCTCCCTGATATATTCCAAATCTCTAAATTCCGATTCGTCATTTCCTCTGCGGCAAAATATCAAAGTGTGAAATTTCGAAGTCTGAAAATGTCATCGGTCCGCTCGCGAATTACCATAGTGATTTTCCCTCAAAAAGCGCAATCTTCCCTCGAAAGTCCCTTCCCTGTTTCAGTGTTCACGAACTCGCGAATTCGACAAAAAGCGCTGCAAACCTAAAAAAATTCTCGTCTCTCGCCGACGTCCCCGCTTGTGCCACGAAGAAATACAAATGCAGTGAAAAACGTCGAACGTCGTCACGTTCTCACGTTGCCCGTGATTCGCGTTTACCGTCGCATTTTCGTATCGACGCGATTCGCCAAGATTCGCGCCAAGATGCAAGATCGAATCGCGCGTGATCGACTATAAAGGTAAAAAAATATCACCGAGTCCTACGAGTCCTACTTCTCTTCCCCCGCGTACGTTCGGCGGTGCTCAAAAATGCCGGGAAACGCGAGAGATTATACGGATATACGTCCTCCGTCCTCCTCTCTTTTAGATACGATCTTTGTTTCCTCACGTGTGACATTCCGCATTGCCCTCTTCGCTAAAGACTTTACGGCTAGCAAACGGCTAATTATACGCCCTTATAATATCTTAATTATGGGGAGATCCTTCTTGAGACTCCCCGGCGCAGCTATATCGCAGGAAGAATGCTTCTAAATTCGTTATCGTTAGAAAACAGCTCGACGCATTGCTTTGTCGCACCTCCGGAAACAGAATTCGTGTACGGTTTATCGGTGTAATCGCTCGCGTAACAGTCGCTCGCCAAATCGATCAGCGCGAATCCTCGTATATCAAAAGTACCCGAATAATAGATCGAAATCATACCGTCGGTTAATCGTACTCGTTAATTACGCTGCTGATGACGTAAACTACTGTCGCGTCCATTCGATGTACCTAGGTTCGTTCGTGATCAACGTTACTCCGTCGTGTCCCTTCCTCGCTGAGATTTACACGTTACGGGATCCAGCCGGAAGTCGCGCAATCTCTCCCCGAAGCGACTGAAGGGAGACGCGTGACCCCCGACCCGGGTCCTTCTTACTCCCGTAGATGCATCCCCGTGCGAGTACGTACTATCCGCGACACTGCACCGTGTATATATGTGTATGCTGATCGCGCGAGAGTGCGTGTTTTAGTGTGCGTGGGTATTTTTTTGTACAAGGTACAAACGCACGCGTGCCGACGCGTACATAGGAATGTGTCCGCTGTCGTTCTTCCACGATTAGCAGCGATTATGTTTCTTGCTTCGAGTGGCGAATGAACGATACGAGCGAAAGAGACGGGGAAGAATCTTCTCAGAATTCTCTTCTCGGGAATAACCCCGGAGCGCTTTCGAAATTAGAAGAAAATCAGTTCGGATCGACCTGATTTGTGTACGACCTACAGCGAAAGAAAAAGATGCTCGAAGTACATTTATAGTAAAAGATCCGCAGCCCCTCGCGGGTAATGTAAAGATCCGATACGCGGGATAATCAATCAGATGAAGTCGCAAAGTTAATGGAAATGAAGAGCTCGCAGTCTTGAGGTCACTATAGGCATGTCGGCGCGCGTACGGTTGACTTTGATTACTTTACGAGCCTCCGATCGCTAAAGTCGTGTATCGCTCGACACAGTGCTCTTATTTTACTTTTTATTTTACTTAATCTTTTTTTCTCTCTTTATTAACTATGTTTCTTCGGTACTTCGCTTCTCGATAGCTTCGAGAGTGCGCTACGGCATTCCTCCCTTTCGTTTCCGTCTCGCCCCTCTCTCTTTCTCTCTCTATTTTTCTCACGTCGTATAATCTTGGTATAATCTTTTAAAGCTTCGTTTGGCACATAATTAGAATGTGTGTAGTTTATTTTAGTTTTACGGAAGAATTCGATTTTAGCGTTAATCTCGCTCTTCCTAATCTCTCCATCATCTGCTTCACTCTAATTCTTTCGTTTCTCTAAATCGCTAATTATCCCCCCGTACTCCGCTGGCCGTTCCCAGCCCCCCACATCTACATCGTCGAATTTCCCATAAACCCACCCTATATTTCACCCAGCATTATTACATTTAAACACATTCATTTACAGTTTTACACTTCGCTACGTCGTAAAATTTACATCGAGTGTTTGCATCGCCTGTCGCAGTTTCGCGCGGCGCATAGAAGATTATCGTTATTCTTTCGATATTTTACTTAAGTAGGTTCTTGTGCGACTTAGCTTTTTATTCCTCGTCTACACTCCCCGTTACCACTCACTCACCGCAGTCATTCCTTCTTTTCCCTCTCTCTTGCGGAAGGAAGGCAGACTCCGGGAGACTTCCGGTACCATCGGCGACGACGGTGGCAACTGCAACGGGGAGAGGGAGCACCGGTACATCTCGGTCCTGAGGGCACCGGATACGCAATACAATTCCGAACTCGCGCGACTCGCGTAGGTACGCGCGACATTCGAGTAGATATTAATAAACGTTATATTCATGGCAGTATCCGCATCGCGTTACTTCTCTGCGAAACTGGGAGACCGGAGCTGCGTGCGTTTGACTAGTGCGTTGACGGCCGGCACGCGCTTCCCGTCGTGTGACGCAAACGAGTTCACCCTCTCCTTTTTCGTTTTTCTTCTCTCTCTCTCTCTCTCTCTCTCTCTCTCTCTTCCTCTCTCGATTTTCTCCTAATCTTTTCAACGTTTCCCCGACGTAACGTCGCGCACGCTGTTAACTATGTCATCAATTTTCCTGCATCAATTTTCATCAGAACGGAAGAATTTCGGCGAATGACTGCCGAGATTTTAAGATAAAATCGCTGAGAGACAAACTGAGAACCCTCAGTTTC